TACATAGCAGGTGGATATGTGCGTTGGTCTTGCCATGAGCAAACCCACTCAGACCCAGCGCGAGCGGCGGCAGAATCTAATAATGATACAGCAATAGAAACAAATACACAAATACCCAAGAAAGACGGCCAAGCAGTATAAGTTATAGGCGACAGGCTGAGGATTAGCAGGAGATGTATGAGAAGATCACCATGGGTATGAAGGGGGTGATGCTGGTTGGCCTAGGGCTGGTAGATGAACCAAGATATCACCAGTTGTCGAGGGTTCCGTGGGCGCGCACTATTGGTACTTGTCTTTGTATATCCAGGCTAGCCCGATATCGCTCACACCTTGCGCGACCTGCCCACAACGTCAGCCACAACCATTTAGAAGAAAAAAGAAGAAAAAGACGGGAACGCACCGCTGCACGGTACCACTTCGCCGACTCGCGCTTGTCTTTCTTGCAGCCCTTGCCATTCAGGAGGCAGAACGCGAGCTCCTGCTGTGCGTCGGGATCCCCGAGACGCGCAGCAACGCGGAAGTATTGCTGTGTACGGCACGCGTATATTAGAGCGTGTGATAATATATAGGGGGAAAATACTGACCACAGCCATCTCCTTGTCCTTCTCGACCCCCCACCCACGGTAGAAACTCTGGCCCACCTCGTAGATGGCAAGGACGAGCTCCGACTAGCAGGTTGCGTCAGCTTCGCACTCCCTATGCCCAATGGCAAGCGCAACGAACATACCTTGACCGCACCCATGTCCGCGCCCTGCCTGCCCTTCTCCAAGTCGACGACAGCGAGCTCCGCCGCACGCCGCAGCCACCGGAAGCCCGCGACCTCGCTCTTCGCGCACCCCCATCCGTGCCGCTGTGCGAGGCCCCACATAAGCATGCCCACCCCGCACCCACCATTTAGCGTTGCGGACTTCTCAAACGCGATCGCGGACTCTTCCAACCGGTTCGCGAGGTGGTGTTGAATCCCGACCTGGAGGAAATCCTGCGGGGTCTTTGGGTCCACGAGGTTCGCCGGCTCGGCTTTCGGCGTGAGGCTCTGTTTCGAAGGAGACCTCTGCAGTGTAGGAGCAGGTGAGAGCGCGCGTGTGGACGACGGCGGGAACCCTGGTGTCGGTGGCTGTGAGAGCGTGGTCGGGGTCGTCGGCATCTCGTAGTATGAGTACTCCGAGTACACGCTGTTCGAAGACGTGGTCCGTGGGTTGTTCCCGCCCCCATTCGGCGTATGCACAGACAACGAAGGAGACGGCAGCGGCTGCTGTTGCTGCTGCTGCGGGAAGTATGACCCTGGCGACACTGGACCCGATCCCTGGCCCCCGGGTGAGCTCGGGCCCATCCGCGAGCTGAACCCGGGCGAGTTCAGCGGGGAATGTGGACTTCGCGCGTTCCGCATGAGCACTTCGAGCTTTCTGTCTGCCTCTACATCCTCCACGGGGAGCCCAGGCCGCGAGAAGTTGACGCTCCCGCTCGCGACCTGCGACGGCACCCGCCCGCCGACCGCCGCATAGGACCGCTGGTGCTGCTCCGGCTCCGCGGATACGACGACGGTGGGCAGCGCGGGCGCAACCTCCGAATGCTGAGGGTACGACGCGGAGGGCGGCGGGGGCGCGTTCAAGCCAGACGCGCGCCAGGTGTCGCGGTAGCTGGCGGTGATGTCGTCGATGTCGTAGTCGGACGAACGCACCGAGTCGTGTCCGTCCCGATACCGTTGCTGCTGGGGCTCATGGTCCCGCCCGTATTGCTCCCGGTGCTGCTGGGACGGGGAGGCGCCGCGGAAGGTGTGTGTGCTCGACGCGGACGGGGAGGGCGGCGCGGTGCCCGTGGCCGAGCGGCCGTCCCAGGAGAAGGTGCGCATGCTCGCGTCATCGTAATACGAGGACGCGGTCGCGGTCGAAGAGCGGAACGCGGTGTGCAGCAGCGGAGAAGGTGGCCCTGGCGTAGTGTTCCCAGCGGAGCGCGGGGGCGTCAGGGGCAGCTCAAGATTGGATGGCCTCTGATTGGGCGTCCGCCGTGAGGACGTGCGGCGAATGAGTGACCCGAGCGGGGACGAGTCGTGCATGTTAGGTGTGAGCTGCTGCCCTACGGAGAGCTCAGACATCGTGTAGGAGGTGTGGGATGAGCTATCGAAGGTGGTGGGATATAGCAGGAGGCATCAATTTACCAATGGCGGTCGTTGCTAAGCGGCACAGCTGGTATGATCGGCGCTGCAGCGCCAGATCTGTATCGAAATCGGGCAACCAGGGGCAGCGATTCCATGTGGGCATCCAGACAAAGGAGACATCCACCCAGCCGCACAGAAAGCAGAAGGCACATCGTATTATGGGGGTGACTACATGTATATGGGCTGGTGCACTCGATGCGTCTAGAGGTACTTTTTCGTCCGCTTGAGCTCCGCGTACGGGTCCATCCTCGGTATCTTGCCGAACCGCGGCTCCTCCTTCTCTGTAAGGCCGCAAACACGTTAGCTCAGCTATATATACCTGCACCAATTTTAACTCACTGAGCGTGTGCTGGTAGATGTGGGAGACCGTCTCGTCCCACTCCTCACGCCACATGTGCGCTCCGCCGCCCCGCGAACCGTCAAACCCGTACTGCTCCGCAAAGGCACGGAAGTTGAAGCCTAGTCTTTCGGACTCCTGGAACACCGGGATGTCGATGGGTTCTGTGGGAGACGCTTGCGGGAGCATGAGGAGAACGTAGCGGTGGTAGGGCGTGCCCCGCTGCGGGTGCGGAGGGACATAAGGCGTGTGTGTATCAAGCGGAACGGTCGGCGCGGTGGTGAATGCGGATAGAGGGACGTTAGGCCTGCGTAATGAGGCGTTAGTGTGGAGCCGGAATGATGATGCATGTGAACTCACTGTAACCAGTGTAGGTAAGACGTGAACGACTGGTCCTCCGGGTTGGGGACGTCCAGGTCCACCATCAACAAGGTGTACAGACGCGTGTCTGTGTGGAAAAGAGTCATGGACAACTGGGGCGGTCTCCGAGTCTACACGTCCCATGCAGTCGGTTAGCCACTGGCTTGACTGACGGGTGCTAAGTCGTGCGGCATACCTGTTCGGCGACCAGAAAGATACCAGGCTCAACCTGCTTCAGCTTACGCTTGACACGCGTACGGAGGTAATTGTCCTTGGGGGGAGCCTCAGCATACTTTATGCGTAGGTCAAAGGAAGGCTTGAGCTCGGGCAACATGTCCGGGACGACGTTCATTTGATAGATACGTTCCATCTACGACTACTGGTGAGTACCCGGTCTGCAGGCGCCAGACTGCAGGACGACGTACCAACAAGTCCAGGTCACCCTCTTCCCTCCACTGCTGCTCGACCAGATGCCTATGAATCGGCGCGCTCATATCCGCTACGCGTACTTCAACAGTAGAACGCGCTAACACAGTCGAAAGCACTCACCTGAGCCATTCCTTGCCTTCCACCGTACGTCTGGCAGGTTCGCCTCGCTCTGGATCTCCAGAATGCGAATCTGCTCACGCATACCCTGCAGAGCTGCCTCGTCCCGCTCTCCCTCCGGCTTCTTCGCCTCGACCTCTGCCGCCGCCCGGAGCTGCTCGAGCTCCTTCCGCATGAACGTCGCGTCCTTCACGATGTAGCGCAGCGCGTAGTCGTAGGCGGGCTCGACACCCTTCGCAATTGGACGACACCATTCGCGCGGGACCTGAGCCTGCGTAGCCTTCTTCCGCCCCTTGACAGGACCGTTGCCTGCGGTCGCGCTGGACTTCGCTGTCACCGACGACGGGGGAGGAGGCGTCGAGGCGTCAGCCTCCGGGCGCGTCGCGGCAGCCTCGAGGGTCGCGTTTCCGCGTACGCTTGCAAGTCTAGGAGCAAAGCGGGGCAGACGGCGCAGAGCAAGCATGGTCGTGTAAGACTGGGTGAGCGGACGGCGGACGGAGGAGCTCAGAATTTGTGGGAGGGCGTCTATAATGGGTACTCGTCCTATTTTGGCAAGCGTAGTGATCCTAAACTCTAAATACTATATGTAGCATGCTGAGTGTCGCTTGAGTGCCCTGCCTACTTCAAGGCGCGCACACATGTTCTTGACTTGCCACGCGACGAGCACCACGGCCAGCTCGCCACATCTTACGCCTACGTCCAGAGCAACGTCACACAGTCCGTACTGGGCGAGTGGGACGAGTTGGCCGGCGCCAACACTGCCAAGTACTGGGGCCGTACGCATCTGCGCCATCCTGCCTTTCGCCGCTTAACTCACACGAAGTCCTACCCGCTCAAACGCCTCGGCGGGCGCCCCACGCTCACCGCTCGATTCATCCGGTGTATTGAAAACCACGCGCCAACTGGATGGTATCGCGACCGCTTCCGGCCAAGAGCAAACGAGCCCACCATGTGCACCCTCCACGACGGCCCGCCGGCGTATCACACGCGCGAACACGTCCTCTTCCATTGCAATCACTACGTTCGGAAATACAAGCACTCCAGCATCGAGGATCTCCTCGGGTCCATGGACCCGTTCTACGACATCCAGTGCTTCCTTACCGACAACCCGACTGCCTTCTCCTTCGACGACGCCCCGGACGGCTGAGCGCCACATCGCGCCCGCCGCCCAATCTCGCCACCCTCCTCTCCTGCCCTCTCCTCCTCCTCTGCGACTATGCCCATGCCCATGCCCC